CCAGGTCCTCATAACACCATCTGAGGGAACCACACTACTACAGTGTAGTAACTACATCCACGTGAGGTCCCTCCTACCATCTGGGAGGAGTTACTACACTACGAGTTTGCTGTTCAACACCTACATTGATCTGTATGTTCACTGTATGTTCCTTTACCTTCTAATGAAGGCTTTGTTAAACCACCAATGTATGTAAGAAGTCATTTATGTCCAATGTATATTTTCAGCCTTCGGGCTGCAGAACTTTTTTCAATAAACCGTTAATTATTATATTATTATTATTATTACACACACACAGACACACACACACACACACGCACGCACGCACGCACGCACGCACGCACACACACACACACACACACACACACACACACACACACACACACACACACACACACACACACACACACACACACAACACACACACACACACACACACACACACTCCCCATCACAAACAATGACATTTTTGTAGCTGTGTTTGTTATGCATCCTTGAATTATTTGATTAAATTTTCAAGGCTTTTGATTGTTGTTTTTTGCAACAGGAATATTTATGTGTTGTACAGTCACTGACAGAAGTCCCTATCACCTCTCCTCCTGAACCACAGGCCCCGAGATTTCAGACTCGTGAATCCGAAGCAGTCCAAGCTGATGCAATATTCTCTACATACTGTAAATGCTTCAGTTCATGAGTCTGAAATCTCTTCAGAAAAAGCTCTTGGGACTTTTGTAGAAAGCTTGTGTTGATTACTAAGACAAGTGAGGTAGAAGTTGGAGGTGAGGCAGAGTGGACTGACCAGTTGCTGTCGGTGAGTGGTGTTCCCCCTCCCACACCCTCCTATACCCCACACACCCCACCTGCCTCCCCACCTACCCCCATGAGTTGTTTACCAGGAAAAAACCATAAATTACACAAATAACCGACGCCACGAGGAGTTATGTTGTAGTTAAGACACGAGGACCCCCTCCCATGGCTCTAACCCCCACCCCCTTCCTCACCCTCACCCTCATCAACACGTGGCATCAACACTGACTCACTAAAATCTTCAAATGTGTGAAGAAGAGTAGTCAACAAACCGAAACCGGAGTCACGTACACCCACCCCCGCACAACCCACCCCCACCCCTCACACAACCCACCCTCACCCCTTCACACAACCCATCCTCACCCCCTAACACACCCCACCTCCCCACACAACCCACCCCCCCTCACACAACCACACCCCAGCCCCCATCCCTGACTGCTGGCTCACACTTTCAAATGATCACTGTCAGCAATCACTCGTGAAATAATCCTAAACCAGACAAGAATGATACCAGTTTATTATCAGGGAGGATGGGTTAGGTGAGGTTAGGTTAGGTTGTATATACAGATGTCCTCCACCTTGTCGAGTATAATTTAATATCAGCCAAGCTTAACGCGATCACCAATATCCCCCCAAAATTCTTCCTACTTAAGTGTTTTGTCCGTGAAACTAATAATAAAAAAATAATAATAATCCCTTTTCGAGATAGTTTTATTATTGATGAATATTAACATTGATGACGAAGAAGCTGTAAATTGATAGCGAAAGAATGAAAAGCTAGTGTTTGTTTACCTATTATTTACCTACAGCAACTACACGAACAATATGATTGGTTGATTCAATTGGACGTTGTGCAGGCGAATCAGAAACGTGTTGGCGCTCCTGTCAATATCCCCCTCCTCCCCCCTTCCCACACCCCTCCCCAAGTCCCCACACCCTACCCCCATCCCCATAACCCCTCCCCCTCCACCCTTATCGGTGAGAAAAAAACAGCTCTAAGACTATCAGTAATCATATATACACACTGTAATTTCCACCTACATGATTATATTTACACCAAATATTTTATGTAAAAGCTTAAAAAAATCGTTCTTTTATATTCAGTGATCCGTCGCGCTGTCAGACGTATATGGAAAATCATACGTCTTTTCTTCTCTTTTTGCTCGTGTTGTGTACGTTAAAAACTAAATTCTTGAGGTTAACTACCACCCCAAACTATTACCTTATGTAATTGTCGTAGTGAAGCGTTATCTTAAGTTTTGATTTATATTGATGTAGATGAGAGAGTGTGTAATGTAGTGTTGAGTTTGTAAGAACGAATCACACCTGTTCATAAGTTCTGTTAATTCACACCTGTTGTTTATCTATCCAAAATAGGTGAGGGGTCAGTTTACCTTTAATCTACCACCTAATATACCCCCAAATTTACCCTTAATCTACCCCTTATCTACCCTTAATCTACCCTTTATCAACCCCTAATCTACCCTTTACTCTGGGTGTCTTAGAAAAACTTCCTCCCTTTCTTCCCTCTCTTCTTCCTCTTTCTCCTCTCCCTCTTCATCCTCTTCCCTCTCTCCTCTTCCTTCATTCATTGCATTATGTCCTTTCCACCATAACTCACTATCAACTGTAACATCTCTTTAAAAAAAATTTAGTTCTTAATATAATTTTTCATTACATACATACATACATATACTGTACATACATATATACATACAAACAAACATACATACATACATATATAGATACATACATCTTTCCTCCTATTCTGAGTCAGTGTATATTTCTCTTTACACACCTTGACCTAATTAGATAAGGTAAGGAGGTGTTGGTGATGCCTTAAAAAAAAAGATAACCTCTAATCCCTTTTAATCCCTGTAATGTCATATCTCCTTGGATTATCTTAATACCTGGATTAGAAAGAGGGATTATTTACGTTAATTATATATTTTATTACGTCTTTTATCTCTTCATAATGTGTTTCTTTGTGTCCTCTCTCTCTCTCCTCTCTCTCCTTGTTGTCTTCGTTACATCCTCCAATATTTAATTATCCTCCTCGCCATGCTTCGTTTCTGTTCACCTTCCTAATTATCACCTTAAACAACCATGTTAGTTTATTCACATGATCACTGTCCTATCCCCTTCCTCCCTTCCATTTTCCTCCTCTTCTCCTTCTTTTCTTCTCCTTCCCTTCCTTCTTCTTCTCCCCTTCCTTTCTTCTCCTTCCTTCTTCTCCTTCTTCTCCCCCCTTCCTTTCTCCTATGATAATCCAGCAGTGTCTCTCTCTCAGTTTTTCACCTTCCTAGTTAGCAGTTAGTCTCTCACCCTCCTAGTTAGCAGTTAGTCTCTCACCCTCCTAGTTAGCAATTGACTCTCACCCTCCTAGTGACAGTTAGCTCTCACCCTCCTAGTTGTAGTCTCTCACCCTCTGGTGCCCAGTTAGTCTCTCACCCTCCTAGTTACCAGTTAGTCTCTCACCCTCCTGGTGCAGTTAGTCTCTCACCCTCCTGGTGCAGTTGGTCTCTCACCCTCCGGTAGCATTGGTCTCTCCCTCTGTTAGCAGTTAGTCTCTCCCCTCTAGTTAGCAATAAGTCTCTCACCCTCCTGGTGCCTAAGTCTCACCCTCCCAGTGCAGTGTCTCTCACCCCCCAGTGCTGGTGGTCTCTACCTCTAGTGCGTGGTCTCACCTCCCGTTAGCAGTTGGTCTCTCACCTCCTGGTGATTGTTTCACCTCCCGGTGCATTGGTCTCTCACACCCTAGTGAGGTGTCTCTCCCCTCCTAGAGCGGTAGTCTCTCACCCTCCTGGTGCAGTTGTCTCTCACCCTCTGTGCTGAAGTCTCTCACCCTCCCAGTTAGCAGTAAGTCTCCTCACTCCCAGTTAGCAGTAAGTCTCTCACCCTCCCAGTTAGCAGTTAGTCTCTCACCTCCTAGTTAGCAGTTAGTCTCTCACCCTCCCAGTTAGCAATTAGTCTCTCACCCTCCTAGTTAGCAGTTAGTCTTTCACCTCCCAGTTAGCAGTTTGTCTCTCACCTCCTAGTTGAGCAGTTAGTCTCTCACCTCCTAGTTAGCAGTTAGTCTCTCACCTCCTAGTTAGCAGTTAGTCTCTCACCCTCCACAGCAGTTAGTCTCTACCCTCCCAGTTAGCAGTAAGTCTCTCACCTCCCAGTTAGCAGTTAGTCTCTCACCTCCTCAGTTAGCAGTTAGTCTTCACCCTCCCAGTTAGCAGTTGGTCTCTCACCTCCTAGTTAGGCAGTTAGTCTCACCCTCCCAGTTAGCAGTTAGTCTCTCTCACCCTCCTAGTTAGCAGTTAGTCTCTCACCCTCCCAGTTAGCAGTTTGTCTCTCTCACCTCCTAGTTAGCAGTTGGTCTCTCACCTCCTAGTTAGCAGTTAGTCTCTCACCTCCTAGTTAGCAGTTAGTCTCTCACCCTCCCAGATAGCAGTTAGCCTCACCTCCCAGTTAGCAGTAAGTCTCTCACCTCCCAGTTAGCAGTAAGTCTCTCACCTCCTAGTTAGCAGTTAGTCTCTCACCCTCCTAGCTAGCAGTTTGTCTCTCACCTCCTAGTTAGCAGTTAGCCTCTCACCCTCCCAGTTAGCAGTTGGTCTCTCACCCTCCTAGTTAGCAGTTAGTCTCTCTCCCTCCTAGTTACAGTTAGTCTCTCACCTCCTAGTTAGCAGTTAGTCTCTCACCTCCCAGTTAGCAGTTAGTCTCACCTCCTAGTTAGCAGTTAGTCTCTCTCACTCCTAGTTAGCACAGTCTGTCTCTCACCTCCCAGTTAGCAGTTAGTCTCTCACCTCCTAGTTAGCAGTTAGTCTCTCTCACTCCTAGTTAGCAGTTAGTCTCTAACCCTCCCAGTTAGCAGTTAGTCTCTCACACCCTAGTTAGCAGTTAGTCTCTCACCTCCTAGTTAGCAGTAAGTCTCCCTCCTAGTTAGCAAGTATCCTCACCCTCCTAGTTAGCAGTTAGTCTCACCCTCCAGTAGCAGTAGGTCTCTCACCTCCTAGTTAGCAGTTAGTCTCTCTCACTCCTAGTTAGCAGTTAGTCTCTCACCCCTCCTAGTTAGCAGTTAGTCTCTCTCACTCCTAGTTAGCAGTTAGTCTCTCACCTCCCAGTTAGAGTTAGTCTCTCTCACCCTCCTAGTTAGCAGTTAGTCTCTCACCCTCCTAGTTAGCAAAGTCTCTCACCTCCTAGTTAGCAGTTAGTCTCTCACCTCCCAGTTAGCAGTTAGTCTCTCACCCTCCTAGTTAGCAGTAAGTCTCTCACCCTCCCAGTTAGCAGTAAGTTTCTCACCTCCTAGTTAGCAGTTAGTCTCTCACCTCTAGTTAGCAGTTAGTCTCTCACCCTCCTAGTTAGCAGTTAGTCTCACCTCCTAACTAGCAGTCAGTCTCTCTCACTCTCACCTCTAGCTAGCAGTTAGTCTTACCTCCCAGCTAGCAGTTAGTCCTCTCACCCTCCTGGCTAGCAGTTCTCTCACCGCGCTGGCTAGCAGTTAGTCTCTCAACCCCTCCTAGCAGTTAGTCTATCACTATCTCACCTCCTAGTTAGCAGTCAGTCTCACCCTCCTGGCTAGTAGTTAGTCTCTCACCGTCCTGGCTAGCAGTTAGTCTCTCACCGTCCTGGCTACAGCAGTTAGTCTCTCACCCTCCTAGTTAGCAGTTAGTCTCTCACCTCCCAGTTAGCAGTTAGTCTCTCACCTCCTAGTTAGCAGTCTCTCTCACTCCTAGTTAGCAGTCTGTCTCTCACCCTCGCAGTTAGCAGTTAGTCTCTCACCCTCCGAGTTAGCAGTTAGTCTCTCTCACTCCTAGTTAGCAGTTAGTCTCTAACCCTCCCAGTTAGCAGTTAGTCTCTCTCACTCCTAGTTAGCAGTTAGTCTCTAACCCTCCCAGTTAGCAGTTAGTCTCTCACACTCCTAGTTAGCAGTTAGTCTCTCACACTTAGTTAGCAGTAAGTCTCACCTCCTAGTTAGCAGTTAGTCTCACCCTCCTGTTAGCAGTAAGTCTCTCACCTCCTAGGGTTAGCAGTTAGTCCTCACCCTCCTAGTTAGCAGTTAATCTCTCTCTCACCCTCAGTTACCAGTTAGTCTCTCACCCTCCCAGTTAGCAGTTAGTCTCTCACCTCCTAGTAGTTAGTCTCACCTCCCAGTTAGCAGTTAGTCTCTCACCCTCCTAGTTAACAGTTAGTCTCTCACCCTCCTAGTAAGCAATAGCTCTCACCTCCTAGTTAGCAGTTAGTCTCTCCCTCCCAGTTAGCAGTTAGCTCTCACCCTCCTAGTTAGCAGGTCTCTCAACCTCCTAGTTAGCAGCAGTTAGCTCTCACCCTACTGAGCAGTTAGTCTCACCTCCCAGTTAGCAGTTAGTCTCTCACCTCCCAGTTGTAGCAGTGCAAGTCTCACCCTCCCAGTTAGCAGTTAGTCTCTCACCTTCCCAGTTCACAGTTAGTCTCTCACCTCTATTAGCAAGTTAGTCTCTCACCCTCCTCCAGTGGTGTTGCCTCACCTCCTAGCTAGCAGTTAGTCTCTCACCCTCTTGGCCAGTAGTTAGTCTCCACCGCCCTGGCTAGCAAAGGTCTTCAACTCCTCCTAGCAGTTGGCTCATCACTATCTCACCTCCCAGTTAGCAGTCAGTCTCTCACCTCCTGGCTAGTAGTAGTTAGTCTCTCACCGTCCTGGCTAGCAAGGTCTCTCACCGTCCTGGTTAGCAGTTAGTCTCTCACCCCTGCTAGTTAGCAGTTAGTCTCACCCTCCCAGTTAGCAGACGATTAGTCTCTCACCTCCTAGTTAGCAGTTGTCTCTCTCACCTAGTTAGCAGTTTGTCTCTCACCTCCCAGGTTACAGTTAGTCTCTCACCCTCCCAGTTAGCAGTTAGTCTCTCAACCTCCTAGTTAGCAGTTAGCCTCACCTCCCAGTTAGCAGCTAGTCTCTCACCTCCCAGTTAGCAGTTAGTCTCACCCTCTCAGCAGTTAGTCTCAACCTCCTAGTTAGCAGTTAGTCTCTCTCACTCCTAGTTAGCAGTCCGTCTCTCACCTCCCCAGTTAGCAGTTAGTCTCTCACCTCCTAGTTAGCAGTTAGTCTCTCTCACCCTAGTTAGCAGTTAGTCTCTAACCCTCCCAGCAGTTAGCCTCACACCTCCTAGTTAGCAGTTAGTCTCTCACCTCCTAGTTAGCAGGCCTCACCTCCGGAGTTAGCAGTAAGTATCTCACCTCCTAGTTAGCAGTTAGTCTCTCACCCTCCTAGTTAGCAGTAAGTCTCTCACCCTCCTAGTTAGCAGATAGTCTCACCCTCCTGTTAGCAGTTAGTCTCACCCTAGTTAGCAGTTGTCTCTCACCCTCCTAGTTAGCAGGTTAGTCTCTAACCCTAGTTAGCAGTTAGCCCCCTCCCAGTTAGCAGTTAGTCTCACCCTCCTAGTTAGCAGTTAGTCTCACCCCTAGTTAGCAATAAGCTCTCTCACCCTCCTAGTTAGCAGTTAGTCCTCACCCTCCCAGTTAGCAGTTAGTCTCACCCTCCTAGTTAGCAGTAAGTCTCTCACCTCCTAGTTCAGCAGTAAGTCTCACCCTCCTAGTTAGCAAGTTGTCCTCACCTCCCAGTTAGCAGTTGGTCTCACCCCCAGTTAGGAGTTAGTCTCTCACCTCCTAATCCACAGTCAGTCAGTCTCACTCACCCTCTAGCTAGCAGTTAGTCTCTTACCTCCTAGCCTAGCAGTTAGTCTCTCACACCCTGGCTAGCATAGTCTCTCACCGCGTTGGCTAGCAGTTAGTCTCTCAATCTCCTCGCAAGCAGTTAGTCTATCACTATCTCACCCTCCCAGTTAGCAAGCAGTCAGTCTCACCCTCCTGGCTAGTAGTTAGTCTCACCGTCCTGGCTAGCAGTTAGTCTCTCACCGTCCTGGCTAGCAGTTAGTCTCACCCTCCTAGTTAGCAGTTAGTCTCTCACCTCCCAGTTAGCAGTTAGTCTCTCACCTCCTAGTTAGCAGTTAGTCTTCACTCCTAGTTAGCAGTTCGTCTCTCACCTCGCAGTTAGCAGTTAGTCTCTCACCTCCGAGTTAGCAGTTAGTCTCTCTCACTCCTAGTTAGCTAGTTAGTCTCTAACCTCCCAGTTAGCAGTTAGTCTCTCACACTCCTAGTTAGCAGGTTAGTCTCTCACACCCTAGTTAGCAGTAAGTCTCTCACCCTCCAGTTAGCAGTTAGTCTCACCCTCCCAGTTAGCAGTAAGTCTCACCCTCCTAGTTAGCAGTTAGTCCCTCACCCTCCCAGTTAGCAGTTAATCTCTCTCACTCCTAGTTAGCAGTTAGTCTCTCACCCTCCCAGTTAGCAGTTAGTCTCTCACCCTCCTAGTTAGCAGTTAGTCTTCACCCTCCTAGGCAGTTAGTCTCTCACCCTCCTAGTTAACAGTTAGTCTCTCACCCTCCTAGTTAGCAATAAGTCTCTCACCCTCCTAGTTAGCAGTTAGTCTCTCACCTCCCAGTTAGCAGTTAGACTCTCACCCTCCTAGTTAGCAGTAAGTCTCTCCTCCTAGTTAGCAGTTAGTCTCAACCTACTAGGTAGCAGTTAGTCTCACCCTCCTAGTTAGCAGTTAGTCTCACCTCCTAGTTAGCAGTTAGTCTCTCACCTTCCTAGTTAGCAGTTAGTCACCACCCTCCTAGTTAGCAGTTAGTCTCACCTCCTAGTTAGCAGTTAGTCTCTCACCCTCCTAGCTAGCAGTTAGTCTCTCACCCTCTTGGCTAGTAGTTAGTCTCTCACCGCCCTGGCTAGCAGTTAGTCTCTCACTCTCCTCGCTAGCAGTTAGTCTATCACTATCTCACCCTCCTAGTTAGCAGTCAGTCTCTCACCCTCCTGGCTAGTAGTTAGTCTCTCACCGTCCTGGCTAGCAGTTAGTCTCTCACCGTCCTGGCTAGCAGTTAGTCTCTCACCCCTAGTTAGCAGTTAGTCTCTCACCCTCCCAGTTAGCAGTTAGTCTCTCACCCTCTTAGTTAGCAGTTAGTCTCTCACCCTAGTTAGCAGTCTTCTCTCACCTCCCAGTTAGCAGTAAGTCTCTCACCCTCCTAGTTAGCAGTTAGTCTCTCTCACCCTAGTTAGCAGTTAGTCTCACCTCCCAGTTAGCAGTTAGCTCTCACCTCCTAGTTAGCAGTTAGCCTCACCCTCCTAGTTAGCAGTTAGCCCTCACCCTCCTAGTTAACAGTTAGTCTCTCACCCTCCCACAAGTAAGTCTCTCACCATCCTAGTTAGCAGTTAGTCTCTCACCTCCCAGTTAGCAGTTAGTCTCTCACCTCCTAGTTAGCAGTAGTCTCACCCTCCAGTAGATTAGCAGTAAGCTCTCACCTCCTAGTTAGCAGTAAGTCTCTCACCCTCCTAGTTAGCAGTTAGTCTCTCACCTCCTAGTTAAGCAGTTTGTCTCACCTCCTAGTTAGCAGTTAGTCTCTCACCTCCTAGCTAGTAGTCAGTCTCCACTCTCACCTCTAGCTAGCAGTTAGTCTTTACCCTCCTAGCCAGCAGTTGGTCTCTCACCCTCCTGGCTAGCAGTTAGTCTCTCAACGCCCTGGCTAGTTAGTCTCTCACCTCACTAGCAGTTAGTTCATCACTATCTCACCTCCTAGTTAGCAGTCAGTCTCTCACCCTCCTGGCTAGTAGTTAGACTCTCACCGTCCTGGCTAGCAGTTAGTCTCTCATCCTCCTAGCTAGCAGTTTGTCTCACTATCTCACCTTCCTAACTAGCAGTTAGTCTCTCACTCTCCTCGCTAGCAGTTAGTCTATCACTATCTCACCCTCCTAGTTAGCAGTCAGTCTCTCACCCTCCTGGCTAGCAGTTAGTCTCTCATCCTCGTAGCTAGCAGTTTGTCTCACTATCTCACCTTCCTAACCATCAGTTAGTCTCTCACTCTCCTCGCTAGCAGTTAGTCTATCACTATCTCACCCTCCTAGTTAGCAGTCAGTCTCTCATCCTCCTGGCTAGCAGTTAGTCTCTCATCCTCCTTGCTAGCAGTTTGTCTCACTATCTCACCTTCGTAACTAGCAGTTAGTCTCTCACTCTCCTCGCTAGCAGTTAGTCTATCACTATCTCACCCTCCTAACTAGCAGTCAGTCTCTCACTCCCCTAGCTATAATCACATGTAATAGCTTCTAATAGTTTGTTAGGGATCACCGAGACGGCCCCCCAATCGTATTTCTCCTATAGCTTAAGCTAACCTGTAATTAAGGATAACTGCTTTTTTTTGTTAGGTTAGGTTAGGTTAGGTGTTCGTAAGTCCAGTTAAGAGAAGACTGATCATTCGAATTGGTTTTAAAGAGAAGTTCCTATCTAGATATAACTGAAGGTGTATGTAGTGTATGTATGTATGTACTGTATGTATATATGTATAGATGCATACAGTATATATATATATATATATATATATATATATATATATATATATATATATATATATTTATTTATATATGTATGTATGCGTGTATGTATGTATAGATGTATATATATGTGTGTTTATGTATGTATGTATGAACTAACTAGGTTGACCTCCTGCCCCCACCAAATAAAGTATTAAAAATGTCTACCCATTATATTTTCTCACACATAAATACACAAGTGAGTGTTGTTGTTGTAATATAATACTTAACATGTAAATTATGTGACTGCTGCTGCACATTTTGTGTCTAATGATTATTGCAAAACTTTATATAATATTACAAAGACAACGAATTAGAGTTAATCTATACTAAGAGAGAGAGAGAGAGAGAGAGAGAGAGAGAGAGAGAGAGAGAGAGAGAGAGAGAGAGAGAGAGAGAGAGAGAGAGAGAGAGAGAGAGAGAGAGAGAGAGAGAGAGAGAGAGAGAGAGAGAGAGAGAGAGAGAGAGAGAGAGAGAGAGAGAGAGAGAGAGAGAGAGAGAGAGAGAGAGAGAGAGAGAGAGAGAGAGAGAGAGAGAGAGAGAGAGAGAGAGAG